AGTGTTCACAAGGTTTTTCTATTTATAGCTCCTGTGACCTACTTTTTCATCCGAGATGACCCATGTTCGAACTCATCCGAGCTATCACCTAGACAAACATCCTGACCAAGTTTGATTAAGATTGGGTCAAAAATGTGACCTCTAGAGTGTTCACAAGGTTTTTCTATTTTTAGCTCTTGTGACCTAGTTTTTCATCCGAGATAACCCATGTTCGAACTCATCCGAGCTTTCAACTAGATAAGCATCCTGACCAAGTTTGATGATGATTGAGGCAAAAATGCGACCGCTAGAGTGTTCACAAGCAATTGTGGACGGCCAGACGGACGACGGACGACGGACGACGGACGACGGACATTCACCGATCCTAAAAGCTCACCCTGAGCAAGCTCAGGTGAGCTAAAAAGGTAGTTATCAATATACACAAATGTATCAGTTTATTTGAGAATCCTTATAAAACTGAAAGATATAAATGTAATGTTTATTTATAATTAATCAACTGCTTATGTTGTTAATCGCTAATTCGTGAATAGTCCGTTGAACTTTTGGCTATTATTTTTTTAAGTTGAAATTATTGGCTATTATTTTATTTGAGCCAGTGTGAGCCCTGTTTAATATACCGGTTTAAAACACAGTACTTATTCTGGGGCCGATTTGGTAAAGGGCCGAAACGTCTGGGGCCGAAACGTCTTGGGTAATTTGGGACCGATATGTCTAGGGGCCGAAACGTCTCGAAATCGGTCAAACACATTTTAGGTCATATCAATGCCACTAGCACCCGGTATGCCTAAAATACGAAAGTAAGATTTTTGACGAAAGTGAGCGAAAGTGACTTTTAAAATAGTAATTATAACATTTTAATAGACTTTTAAAACAAACTTGCAGTTTGTAGACGTATATTATTAGAAAATTATTATATTTATTAACAGAAATAATCATAATGATGATTTAATCGCTACTAATTTGCATAATTTCTATACTGCAGTACACAAGTTCTTATATCTTCCTTTCGTTCACATTGAAAAATACGAAAGTGACTTATAAAATATTAAATATTCTGTTTTAATTGAAATTTTTACTAAAATTACAATTTGTAGATGTATATTATCAGAACTTGATGATACCTATTTTTTAAAATAATCATTATGATGATTTAATCGCTATTTATTTGCATTATTTTTAGACACAAGTTCAGAAATCTTCCTTCGCTCAGATTGAAAAAATACGAAAGTGACTTCAAAATATCGAATATAGCGATTAATTTGAATCTATATAATTATAAAAGATTGTAGACGTATAGTTTTGGAATTTGATAGATAATATCTATTTTTAAAAATTATCATTATGATGATTTAATCGCCATTTATTTGCATAATTTCTATACACAAGTTCAGAAATCTTCCTTTCGCTCACATTGAAAAATACTAAAGTGACATATAAAATATTAAATATACTGGTTAAGTTGATTTTTTACTAAAATTTCTCTAAGTAGACGTATACTATCAGAAATTGATAATATTCATTTTCAAAAAACAATCATTATATATGATGATTTAATTGCTATTTATTTGCATAATTTCTATACACAACTACATAGATCTTCCTTTCGCTCACATTGAAAAATACGAAAGTGACTTATAAAACATTCAGTATACCGTTTATTTTGAATTTATATTAATACAACAGTTTGTAGACACATAGTTTCAGAAATGAATAAAAAATACTTAAAAATCATTATGAGGTTTTAATATTCATGCATTTTCATTATTTCTATATAGCAATTTCAGAGATCTTACTTTCGCTCACTTTCGTATTTTCAATGTTAAGGAGAGGAAGCGAAAGTGATTTTTAAAATATCAAATATAGCGTTTTAATTGCACTTAATATTAATAATGCAGTTTGTAGACATATATTATCAAAACAAGTATCTTTAATCAATATGATTTGATCTTCATTTATTTATTTATTTATTAAAGTCTCATCTATATACATGGTACAATATAATACAACATTAAATATATCTTAAGAACATGTATATAACCATTCTATAAAGAATTACAGGAGACTACAAATGTATAAAACACATAAATATATATATAGCATTTTATAATTATGACTATTTACATGATAAAACTATGCTCTATGTAAAGACTATGTTAGAATAGTTAAGAATAAAAACAGTACGACTTTGTAGTTAAAAGAGGAGCACTTATGTCATTAAAAAAAAATAATAAAAATAAAATAAAATTATAATAATAATCTACCATAATATTATTTACAAAGATAAGATTTACGTCTATTAAGAATATCGAAACAGGTTTTGGCACATATTCTAATTAGGAGGTATTTGTAAAAAGAAAACACAAGTTTATCATTATCTGACTTGTTATAAAATTCTGGATCGACGGCTGCCGCTTTTATGAAATAAGTTTCGTCTGTAATCATCATAAAGTGAGCACTGTAAGATAACATGCGATTCTGATTCAACGTTATTAACACAAAATGGACAAGTACGATTTTGTTCACTTAAGTTTTCATATCTTCCAGTTTCTAATCTAATGGGAGCAACCCCACAGCGCGAAATTTACAGAAGGCAGATCTGTGTAAAGGTGGCATAATCATGGTGCAATAATTCTCAACACTATAATCTTTCTTAAAAGTACAATATGTTCTTAGTTTATTTCTTCCTCTACCTGAAACTACCTACAGATCTATTGATAAGCTGTTTCCAGTCACATACATATTTATCCATCAAAAAACATATAGCACTATCAACAATAGCATGTTTTTTGATACATAGTTAGAAATGTCAAAAAATGGCTGAGTCTACATTCAAACAATTTCGACTTAACACGAAAATACCAAGTTTTACAATTATTGTTTGCTTTACCATGAGCCCAAAGAGCAATTCTCTTATTCAGCCTGGACGAGTTTGTATTACTTAAACGAGCCTAAAACGTAAATATAGATTTCCATTGGCGAACAACTGGTGGTTGCCAGGCCATCTATTAGCATAATATTTATACACAAGCTCAAACATTGATCTTCCTTTCGCTTACTGTGAGCCTGACGAAAGTGACTTACAGAATATCAAATATATAGCGTTGAAATAGGATTTCATGATAATATTGCAGTTTGTAGACGTATCTTATAAGCTATAGTAACTATCATTTTTATAAAACTTAATATGTTAAGATGAAAAATGAAATTTATCATGTAAACTTTAATTGTCAAAAACATGAATTATGCAATTTATGCGTTAGGGTTCCGATTTACAGTTCTCAAATTTCTTACATCGTCTTTTTCGGGCAGTTTTTAAATATTTGGATTAACGATGGTGTTACCTAACATTTAATATTCTGTTTTATATATCATATTGTAATTATATACTGTTTGATTCTAATCTAACAGTAATAGGTCTTGAATGTGTTTCTCATTATTATAATGTCTCTTGAAAAATTCTTAAATGGAATGGTCTTATACATGTAGGTTTTATGTGAATAGTTGTATATATGTTTGAAATGCATGTATACGAATGAGACAAAAATAAAGTATGAATATGTTTTACATGCAAACACGTGTTGTCATATCATTTTCCGCACCCACTTTAATTGATAGTACACACGACGGTGACCGCATGACGCTTTAATCCCACTAATGTATTATTATAATCCAATCATAGGTATGTAACTGATGACACTTGCCGGTTGTTTATTGAGTGGACAATTGAATTAACCTTTCTTCTGCACCACCATAGATATCTTGCACGGATTAAAGTGGCAGTTATTATGCTCATCCAGGTGTTAAGATGAGCAATGTACATGTTAATTTGAAAAATAATTTGGAATTTCCCAATCATTATGTTAAAATGATATTTCACTATGAAAAAAGGAAATAAGTAATCCACGGAATTTTCTATAAATATCGTACTATATATATCGCTATATAAAGTTCAATCTTTTTATAAGTTTAGGATTTTTTTTTGATATTTTGTGGCTAGTCATTTCATCATCAATTATAGGTCAATCACCATGAAACATGAATAATAATGAAAAACTCATTTATTTTTTTTTATAAAAAACATTAATATCGTGAATATTGACATTGACCTTTCGTACGATTAAGTCACTTTCGTATTGTTCAATGTGGGCAAAAGTAAGATATCAGAACAGGTATTACAGCAATTAATGAAAATACATGGATATTAAATCATCATAATAATGATTATTTTTTTTTAAATATATTTTATTCATTTCTGAAAAACATGCGTCTTTCAGCGCTATATTTGACATTTTTGAAGTCACTTTCGTATTTTTCAATGTGAGGGAAAGGAAGATCTGTTAACTTGTGTAATGCAAATAAAAGGGCGGTTAAATCATCATAATGATTATTTTTAAAAAATAAATATAATTGACTTCTGATATTGTACGTCTACAAATTAATTGCAATTTTAGTAATACATTCAATTTTAAACAGTATATTTGATATTTTGTAAGCCACTTTCGTATTTTTAAAATGCGAGCAAAAGGAAGATCTCTGTATATAACTTGTGTATATAGATTATGCAAAATAAATGGCGATTTAATCATCATAATGATTATCTTTGAAAGTAAATATTATCATTTTCTGATATTATACTTCCACTTTGTGCAATAATAGTAAAAAATAATTTCAATTTAAATGGTATATTTTATATTTTATAAGTCACTTTCGTATTTTCAATGTAAGCGAAAGGAAGATATAAGAATTTGTGTATATAAATTATGCAAATAAAAACCGAATAAATCATCATTATGATTATTTTTTCATAATAAATATTTAAGTAATTTCTAATAATTACGTCTACAAACTGCAATTTTATTGTAAAAGTCTATTAAAACGTTACAATTCAAATATTTTAAAAGTCACTTTCGCTCACTTTCGCTCACTTTCGTCAAAAATCTCACTTTCGTATTTTAGGCAAACCCCTAGCACCTGTGGGACAGGTATCTAACATTGATCTGTCAAAGTTTTGTACGATCCGTAGACAGATTTTTATCTTATTTGTTAAAAAAGAAAAAGTGCGATTTGGGCCTCCAGAATATTTAAATGGTACGTTATGGTACGTAATCTCCAAAAATGGTTCGTAAAATCCAGGTACGTTTCCTCCATGACCACGAAACCATTAGTATTTGTTGACATAAAAATAATAAACTCGCCAAAAACTACGTTTTCGTTCTTCCCTAACTCTAATTATGTTAATGATAAGAAACAATGCTTACCTTCGGCCTTCCTCATCATAAAAACTCCTTTTGAAGTTTATTATATATCCGACACAAAAGCTTTTTTTCTACCATCTACCGAGAATGCCCTGTCCTGCTAATAATGTGGCAATGGCACTTAATGACGCAAAAAAGTGGACGACTTCATTTTTCGCGCACTTGAAGGGGTGTTCGGTCTAATTACAATATGTTTACAAACGTTTAAATGATATTTCTTATAAATCAACATTTCAATTATTCATAACCGATAGATAAGATAATTTAATTCTTCTATAAAAGAATAGTACTGTCACGAAAATTGTGTCTTGCATACCGAGTACCTGACTCCCCCGTGTAAGCGTATCGGCTTGACCGTCGCCGCCGAAACTCTTTGAACTGCCTGTGTAGTTTAATTACACGCAAAGCTGCGGTTAAACTGGTAAAATAGACGCGATGGTTAGAATCGCTGTCATTTATACATGCGGGTTGTTTCTTCAAGACTTGGTGAGTAATTTTGCATCTAATAACTTTTTAAATGAAATTGATTGCAAGCATGCTTTTAAATACCATCTAGAATAAATAAAATATGGATTTATGAAACCTTCAGTGGACCCGTTTTAAACGGAATACATTATTTATATCTTAAAACTTAACAAATTGTACTGTCGATTCTAACCATTAAAGTGAATTGGTTTACTTTTTTTCCCAGACAAATGTACCATTTGATGTACTGGTTTAGACCACTGATCTTTGATCATTCACACACTTCGTTTTTCCAGAATAAGTATTCAAATTGTAAAAAATAGCCCAAAATGAAAATCATTTAAACACTTTTCACTCAAATCTGGCTTAAAGAAAAGCATAATAAAAGATTTTCAATTTATTTCAAAGTATATTTCATAATTATCTTTGCATATATTTCTGTTTAAAGTGCCCCAGCTCATTTATTTAAGACATTTAAATGTATTGTTTTTTTTTATTTTTTTTATTGGCTTTTAAACCTCAGTGAAGTCCCTTTAATATTCAAATTTATGGAAACAACAAGAAAAGGAAGTAATATTACAGATTTTGTTACTGTTAGAGATCTACATAATTTCTGTTGATAGTAATATAATATTGTATACGGCTTTTTAAATAACATTTGATTACTTTATCATTTTTACTCTTTTTTTTATAAATTGAATATTTCTATCAATGTACATGCAATATCATTTTTAGTTTTTATGTTGAAAATGGTAGAAATGAAAATATTTTATTGATATTATCATAATAACCAGGTAATTTTACTGAAAAACTAAATGGACTGGAGTAAATATTTTAACTAATTATACAAATAAGTTGATCTACATTTTTAAATGAATAAAGTATGAATAGTTTCTGATAATTTTAGAGAATTGGAATCTATGCGCTTGAAATTTAGGTTATAGGTATAATGATGTAAGTTATGTACATGTATAAATAAAAAAAGTTCTGTTCTGATAATAAAAAGTTGGTCCTTTACTTTTTGAATTACAATGATTTAGTAACCCTTATTTCTCAAACTGCTATTGACAATGACATATTAGCTATGATGAAAAAATGTTTTTTTCTTGAGGTATTGAGCTGTATATGCATATTAAACAATTTGGCTTGTATTTTATGACTTTTCCAGAAGTCCATCGTATAAGTTGCCAAAGGGTGATATACAAGCACCCAGTCAGTTAAATAAACACTGACCAGCCAATAAACAACTTCACACTCTAAACCATATAATATTAAAACATCAACATTTAAGTGCAAAAAGGAAGACTGTGTATTTTAAGTTTCAGAGTACACCTAATTAGCAATGAAAATAAAAATATGTTTTTCTTGTGAATTGAAAGCAAATTTTAAAGTGTTTAATTTGCCTCTAGTTAGAAAATTATATATATATTTAATAAAAACAGAAAAACATAATTATATCACTGATGTAATTCAGATCCGTGATTATATTTATCTTTAAAATGATCCAAATGAGTTTTCAAATTGAAGTTTGAACTTTGGACCATAATAGAATGTATTTAAGTGACCAATAGATGTTATAGGTGTTCCATGTATATAAATAGATATTAGAAAAATTAGCAAAAAAATCTTTTTGATCATGTTGTTGCATTTATGTGACATGATTCTAAATAAAAGTATTTGTTGTTGTTGTTGATAAAATGCCATAACTTGATTTGTACATTTGACTGCAGTGAAAACCCAAAATTAATTTTTTGCTAATCTGTGTATTTTGAAGATATTCCAGGTATATTTATTAGTATGTATACTGTTGTAGAAGAAATGCAGCAGATAAGTTTACACATTGACTTAAGATTTAAAACCTGTTTGTAAAAATAAAACATAAAAATTCATGTAGTTATTAATTTTACTGTTACAGTAAATTTTTAAAGCAATGATAATAAACAAAATTAATTATCCATGAGAAAAAGGTTATATATAACAGAAAGTACAAAAGGGAAGTTATTCTATAATATAGTATTATAAGATATTTACATTCATATAATTAACATATTTCTAATCAATATAGAATTGTTTTAGCAATATTAAAACTGTTTATTAAAAACTAGATTTATATTCACAAATTCAAAAATGTAGCTAAACACTGGATTCCGGTACTTTATGTACACAGCTCTGGGGAATTCACCTAAAGGGCCTGTAGTAATTTGGTAACTACCTGTATGTTTTTGTTATTTTTAGCTCATTTGCACAAAGTGACAGGGTGAGCTTTTGTGATCGCTTTTCGTCCGGCGTCCGTCTGGCGTCTTTTACTTTAAATGACATCTTCTCATAAACCACTGAGCAAATTTCATCCAAACTTCACAGGAATGTTCCTTTGGTGGTCACCTTTGAAAATTGTTCAAAGAATTTAATTCCATGCAGAACTCTGGTTGCCATGGCAACCAAAAGAAAAAACTTTAAACATCTTCTTCTAAACCCAAAGAGCTAGAGCTAAGATATTTAGCATGAAACATGTTCTAATGGATGTCTACCAAGTTTGTTCAAATAAGAGCCCTGGGGTCAAAATTGGCCCGCCCTGGGGGTCATTGATTTTCCTTATATGTGTATAGCAAAAACTTAAAAAATCTTTTTTGAATAAAATCAAATAGCTAGAGTTTAGATACTTAAAGCCTGAAACATCTTCTAGTGAGTGTCTACAAAGTTTGTTCAAATAAAAGCCCTGGGGTCAAAATTAGCCCCGCCCTGGGGGACATTGATTTTCCTTATAATTTATGTGAATAGCAAAAACTTAAAAATCTTCTTTGAAAAAACCCGAATAGCTAGAGTTTAGATATTAAGTATGAAACATTTTCTAGTAAGTGTCTACAAAGATTTTTCAAATAAAAGCCCTTGGGTCAAAACTGACCCTGCCCCAGGTGTGTCATTGTTTTTAACTATATGTGTAAAGAAAAAAACTTGACCAGCTAGACCTTAGATGTTAAGCATGAAATATCTTCTAATGGGTGTCTACCAAGTTTGTTCAAATAAAAGCCCTGGGGTTTAAACTGGCCTCGCTCCAGGGGCCTATATACAGGTGAGCGACTTCAGGGCCATCATGGCCCTCTTGTTTTGGATTAAAGTGTAATAAAACAATTATTTATTTGTAAGAAAATAATTAAATATCTGACTGTATGAATAATTCAATACAAAAAAAATAAAGTAAATACATAAGTTTCTGCTGAAAATTTCTCTATCTATTATGGCAGTTGCAACAACAACTGTTAATTTTACAGACTTTTATTATAAATAACCTTTTTTGTGGAAAATTTGCAATAGATAGTACAGGTACATTAATAATTTTCAAACACATAAGTTTTTCCACCATAAACCATAAAATAATAATTGAAAAAATGGAAATATCACATGTTAGTTGTGTTATAAATGTAATTCATTGGATGTACTTCCCCAGAGCTAAATCCGTAACATACCGGAAAACAGTGTTTAGCTAGGTTTTCGAAAAGGACAATTAATATTGTCAGCACTCAGTAATACAATGCAGCATGACCATGCAGTAATGTGTTATCATATTAAGGTAAACCCAAACAGTCTTTATAAATATACCCTTTAACAAACAATCTATAGAATTATACAATAATCATTTTTTACTTTTCTATTATTTTTAAATTATACCCTTTAACAAACAATCTATAGAATTATACAATAATCATTTTTTACTTTTCTATTATTTTTAAATACTACATTTTAATTAACAGTGAATTGGATAGTTGGCATCTTATTATAGTCTTATGGCTTTTAGACTAGAAAAACTAAATTCTTGTTACTTAAAAATTACAGGGTCTAATCCAGTAAACTACTTGTAAGCAAGATAAACAGGTACAGAATGTGAACGAGAAGACTGGTGATGATTACAAGACAACAAAAGAAAATGTAAGTAGCTTCACTTTGGTTTTACGGCACACCTACAAAGTATAGTTAGGTCATATGGCGACATTCCAGCTTTACTCGGTGCATTATTTCAGGCACAAATGGGCACCTCAGTAGAACCACCGAAGATCCGTAAGCTAGCTGAATTTTTATTATTAGCTTCCTCACAACGTCCTTGTTGGGATTCGAACACACAGCGGTAAGGGGCAAGTGGTTTGAAGACGACCATAACCACTTGGCCTAAGACGCCTTTTATGTAACTTAAATGTATATCTTAATATCTACATGAAATTCTGGTTACTTCTGAACAGACATTTTGTGCATGGGACATTACTCCTGCATGCATGAAAGAATTTTTTTTTAAATTAGTTAATGCAGCCACCTAGCCTGGGTTCCAGTCTGTTTTTTTATGTGCTTGTGTTCATCAAATTGACAAACATTAGGTTAGTGTTTTTGTTTCGCCTTGAAAAAGGCGACATATAGGGGTTACTTTTGTCAGCCTCGTAGTCCGCATCATTGTCAGCGTCCCCTTAAGCTTGTCCAGAGCATAAGTCAGTCATTATAAGTGGGAATGACTTCAAACTTGGTATGCATGCTTCTTATATTTGACCCGAAGTGCAGTGCATATGAACCGGTACTCTGCACTTCTTAATTTTTGAGTTATTGCCCTTTGTTAATTATCATACTTTATTTTTGTCTAGGCCATTTCTCCTAATGTATAAAAGCTATGGACTTGAAACTTCATGATAGGATGATAGATCTCATTAAGAAGAAGTGCAGTGCACAAGAACCGGTACTCTGCATTTCTTATTTTTTGAGTTATTGCCCTTTTATTATTTTAAATACTTTATTTTTATCCGGGCCATTTCTCCGAAAGTATAAAAGCTATGGACTTGAAACATCATAGAATGATAGATCACATTAAGAAGAAGTGCACTGCATAAAATCCGGTACTCTGCATTTCTTAATTTTTGAGTTATTGCCCTTTGTTTATTTTCATACTTTATTTTTGTCCATGCCATTTCTCCTCAAGTATAAAAGCTATGGACATGAAACTTCATAGGATGATAGATCTCATTAAGAAAAAGTGCAGTGCACAAGAAAGGGTACTCTGCATTTCTTATTTTTTGAGTTACAGCCCTTTGTTAATTTTCATACTTTATTTGTGTCCAGGCCATTTTTCCTTAAGTATAAAAGCTATGGACATGAAAATTCTTAGGATGATAGATCTCATTAAGACGAAATGCAGTGCACAAGAACTGGTACCCTGCATTTCTTATTTTTTGAGTTATTGCCCTTTGTTAATTTTCATACTTTATTTTTGTCCATGCCATTTCTCCTAAAGTATAAAAGCTACATAGGTCTTTAAACTTCGTAGGATGATAGATCTCATTAAGAATAAGTGCAGTGTACAAGAATCGGTACTTTGCACTTCTTATTTTTGAGTTTACCCTTTATTAATTTTCATACTTTATTTTTGTCTAGGCCATTTCTCATAAATTATAAAAAAACTATGGACTTGAAACTTCATAGGATGATAGATCTTTTTCATAAGAAAAGCAGTGCACAGAAACTGCTGCTCTGCACTTCTTTTTTTTTGAGTTATTGCCCTTTGTTGATTTCCATAGTTCATTTTTGTCCTGGCCATTTCTCCTAAACTGTATTGTTCACAAGGCGACACATCCGACTCGCGGAGTTCTAGTTATGCCCCCCACAAAGTGGGGAGCATATAGCGTTGCACTTGTCTGTCCGTCCGTACGTCTGTCAGACGTAACCAAATAGGGTTAGGAGGCCATCTAACAGTAAACAGAACAAAAGAGAACAATAGAGTTCATTCTGTAACAAAAGAATAAGGGGCCATGGCCCTCTATTAAACAAAAGAAAATAACAAAAGAAATGGCCCTTTAGTCCATTGAAGTGGCATGGACATATGTCTGTCCGTCCGTACGTCTGTCTGTACGTCCTGAAATCTTGTGAACGCAACTCCTCTTAAACCGGATGGCAGATTTTGCTTAAACTTTTAGGGATGAACAACCTTAATGTGTAGATGGTAGTGAAGGAAGGAATTTTTGCTGCGACCAAATTAAACAGAATTATAGCCCTTTGTTGATTTTTTCACTATATACTATGTAGAAATTTTGTGAACGCAACTCCTCTTAAACCGGATGGCAGATTTTGCTTAAACTTCCAGGGATGAACGACCTTAATGTGTAGATGGTAGTAAAGGAAGGAATTTTTGCTGCAACCAAATTTAAGAGAATTATGGCCCTTTGTTGATTTTTTCACTATATACCATATAAAAAATTTGTGAACGCAACTCCTCTTAAACCAGATGGCAGATTTTGCTTAAACTTCCAGGGATGAATGACCTTAATGTGTAGATGGAAGTAAAGTAAAGAATTTTTGCTGCGACCAAATTTAAGAGAATTATGGCCCTTTGTTGATTTTTTCACTATATACCATATACATGTATAAAAAAACAAAAACGAAGCGAAAAAGGCCTAATGCATTCAGACTTGGTGCCGGCCTTGTATTTGGGCTACGGCCATGAGACTTGCAGGCTGTGTAGTATGTACATGTATGTTGTCAGTGGGTTCATCCGTGTCCTTTGGACACAGTTCTAGTTTAAGACATGTATCTGTATCTTTTTCAAAGTCCCAAAATTTTAAATGGAATATAAATTATTAAATGAATTAAGTGATAGATATATGCAAATAATGAAATGATCAAATTCTGGTTTATTTTCAGATGTTGTTGTTGTTAAGAAGATTTTTTCCTGTTCCTCGCAGAAGGGCAGAAACATACTTGGATGGAAAATGTGCATAAACTTTGCATAAGTTTTGTTGAAACTTCAATTGATAATGAAGAATGCTGCAAAATATTGTTTGTTACAATATTTGAATGACTGTAAGAGATGTTGAGTGATTGGTATTCACACAGGTGCTGTGTTAGTGCAAAACAATGCAAGCATATGTTGAATGAACACACAAGATTGTGCCATACCATAAGGGAGCAGTATGTTCCGGATATTCTATTTGTATAAACCCAACACAACTACAATGTAATGTGGATATATACTAGAATCAGATTGTCTGTCTGTCTGTTTGTCTACCCATTGGAGATACTGAATTAACTTGTTAGATAGATCATGTATGTTATTGTTGTGGAAAGTAGTTCCGAGCAACTATATCTCTATTGCCTGTTGCAATTTGAAAAGAAGATTTTGTTTAATAGATGAAACTGGCTAGGTGTTACTATTTCAGCATTAGTATGATGTTAGATCATATATTACATGTACATCAATTTTTATATGCCCATTTGAAAAACAAGACATACAATGGGAACCTGGTTGGCAGGCAGTGTCATATTTTGTAAGCATTGTATTTTGGACGTCACAAACCAAAATCAAGGAGTAAATGACTCCCAAACTTCCACTAAAAGAAGCCCTGCCCATGCAGGGATTTTAATGAAACTTCATAGAAATTCTCACCAGATGAAAGGTCAAGGTCACACTTAGAAAACATTGATAAATGCTTATTAGGAGCAAAAACGTGCGTCAATATCACTTCCCAAAAATGTTCACCATTGTGAGGCATAGCGTCACATGCTTAAGTCCAGTCCTTGTGGTCAAGGTCACATACAGAGGTTAAAGTTCAGTATTTGGAACATTTTTCTAGTCAATCCCAGGCATAAAAGTATTTTTATAATGCTTAGGAATGGCTGAGAATGACCTGCCCACGGTTATTTGGAACATTTTTTCTAGTAATACCTTGGCATTTCAAAGAACTTGGATATTCCAGACGTTCCTGGTATTTCCATGATCTAAGGAATGGCTGGAATAGCCTAGGATTGCATTGTACTGGAAATTCCTAGCAACTGGGGTATGACTGGACCACAGCTGAATTACTGTTACTAGGGCCACCAAAGGATCATTACGATTAAAAATCAAATAATCAGTTTTGTAGAAGATATCATTACAAGAAATTTGCTGACAATACAAGATGCCATTGGACACAGGGCAATCACATTACTTCACATAAGCACATTGTACTGATGTGAACTAAAAATGTGCACTTTTAAATCCAGTTAAAATGACAAGCAGTTCAACATCAGTCATAAGCAAACAATTAAATTTAATAAAAAGCATGATTGCATATGAAACATTAAAGTATTTTCCTTACAGTTTAATTGTTTTTGTATTGTTTAGACACACTTCTTTAGATATATCATTGGGTAGTTACTGGAATGCAATGAGCTTTGGCAATAACACTTGACTTAAGATTCCTTTTTTTAAAACAGTGTAACATGTGACACCTCTTTGAATTTAGCACTAAAAGTTAAAACATTATAATACTTGACTAGGGCACTCCTAGATTTTAATTTGCTTTCATCATTTTCTTAACTGATTGAATGAGGGACATCACTTAAACAGTCTAAGAAACGTCACTTAAACAGTACAAAAACATGACGCAAGAAACCTCCAGTATTACATGCAACTCCTACATTTCTATTGCTGTCTTCTGAAATGAGTAAATCCTTGCTGTAAGATCCAATTTTTGCCAGTTTAATAGTTTTCTTGTCATCAAATCTTTCATACTGAGAATCTCAGTAATCCACTTAATTGATGATCTCTAGTAATCAAATGAAATGTTGATCTTTGGTAATCCAAGACTTCTTTGCATTTTCACAGATGTACATATATATATATATATATATACAACAGATAAGAAGCTCTAAAAATAGATAATAGTCAGATTCAGACCCACAATCCTTTGCAGGCTTGGGTGATAATTGGGTTTTCTCGATAGTCTCCAATTTTTCGCACTCTTGTTAAACTTGGATGATATCCATGAATTATTGTTTACATACCCCGACATAGATTTTCATCAGAGAAATATTTGTATAGAAAAAGTGTGTATAGTACCTTTTACAATAAATAACTATTGCTTCTTATTTAAGCAAAAAAATGTTTCATCTTCCTCCGGGAATTCAATATGATGGTGTTTTGGCTATTTTTTTACCCAGGATGCATCATTGAATCTCTGAAAAATCCCGCAACATATTATAACTTATAAGAAAACACAATTCTGCCAATACTGAATTTAACTGTGTGACATCACAGTTTCTTCTCCATGTATATTTAGCTTCATGGCATTTTGTACAACTTGCCCTCTTTCAATTAACTGAAGAATTTATGACAATTCCTATATCAAAAGTTTTTGACCCGTTTTATACATTTAAGCTCTCACTCCCTCAGCTTTGAACATCATCCACAAAGTTAGTTGAACTCCTCCCTTTGTGGCCTTGTGGTACCAATTCTTATCTGAAATCAAACAAATACATTTCTCTACATATGGAAATATACCAAGATATTTGAATACGAAATAAATACAAATCACTTGCAGAACGTGAAGTGGATCAAGCAAGTAAAAATCATTGCAAACTTGACAAAATGGTTACTGTGTCTTAAAATTTTACAAAACTCTCACATATTTTTTCAGGTAAGTGGGTTTGTATGTTATTTGATTTTTTTTTAAATGGCCATTCATGAAGGAAGTGTTTATGACACACTCTGTTCTGGGCCTCAGATTTGTAGCTTTTGGTTATACAAAAGCTTTAAAAGCTATGAAACTGGTCATGTACATATTTTGAAATTTTGATAAGTGAAAGTCCAGGGTGGTTTTTATGCTCATTTATTCACAAAATGTAAGTTTTGAAGTTCACCAAAAAAGGCAAACTAATGAAAAATATACTGTGTATTTTTTTATTATTATTTATTATCATTGTTATTCCTGTAATTTAGTGTTGTTGATCATTATTTCTGTAAAGTTGGTTGATTCTAACTCAAGCACTCCAGGAACAATAACACAACATAATGAAACGGTTTTTACGAAGTCAAGGGAAATAACTCTACAAATAGGGGATAAATCCACAAGGGAACCCAAGGTGCACAACTACATATGCTGACCGATCTCTTAAGGTTTAATGACTCTATGTCAAATCCTTTTTGATTTACAAGCTGAAGTTGAAAATTGCAAAAAATTTCTAAGTCAAGGTCAATAACTCTAAAAAAATAAAATAAATCCACAAGAAAATATCAAGTGCACAACTTCACATGCTGATCAACATTCCTGCAAAGTTTCATGACTCTATGTCAAACCCATTCTGAGTTACATGCGACACAAGTTGAAAATTGCAAAATTTTACTAAGTCAAGGGGCAATAACTCTAAAAATACTATATATAAATCCAGACAAAAATACCCAGGTGCACAACTACCACATGCTGATCAACATTCCTGTAAAGTTTCATGACTAGGTCAAATACTTTTTGAGTACCGACACAAAAGAGAACGGACGGGACAAGGGTAAATCTAAATGCCCGCCACTAAAATGGGGCCACAAAAATATCTTGTTCAAGCATGTTCAACCACTTCACATCCTGCCCCTAATACAATAATAGATTACAGTCATCGAATTTAGCACTGGCCGGGTGGCCCATGACCAGTGTAAATTTTAAGAGAATTTAGTTAAAATATATAGTAGAATAAATTCAAAACTGGAATTCGGACGAGTTTATTCAAAAATCTTAAATTCAAATGACTGAGATTAAGGCAATGTATTCAGGTTAGTGCTTAAAGTATGACACTGTTTCAGTCTGTTTGTGCTATTTTTGTTCTTTGCCAAATCATCATGTGGGATTTTTTTTAATGGACCAGTATTCAGATTCTCTATATAGGCTTAGGCAGTGTCAAAGAGAAACCATTTAAGCTAGGCTGTCACCAGTGACCACTTGACCGATAAATTTTGGTGGCCTAGACAACTTTTTAGTGGTCCAATAATTCCTATACATGCACAGAAATCTAGAGATTAAATCACACATTAACACACACATACAAAACAAAAACAAACAGAAAACATGATTTCTGTTTCAAATAAATGTTTGGAGGTATCTTATTGTGATTTAAAAATACAGTCAGTAATGTGTTATTTTAAAATACAGACATTGATGTAGGCTTATTGAACATCATCTTTTCTTGTTGATCTTGTTTATCATATTCTAATATATAACTACATAAATTAATGGTGATATAAAAATATTGTTTCTTTATGAAAAACTTTTTTTCTACTACAAGTGCAAAATTGCTAAGGTAGTGAACTGTCTGCATACTAAAGCAAATAATTTCCTGCAGGGAAGCACAACCATCTTCAACGATGCTTTGTTTTTTATTCATTATTATATCTTTCCTGTTCAACAAAGAAATAAATAAAAAAACAGGTCGCGAAAAATGTGACAAATGTCCGTTTACGCATTTTTTCCAGTAAGGTTTAAGTAGATCTATCTTTAACTGTAACTAGGAATAAGCTGGAAATACATTATTTCTATTGATACAGTCGGCAAATTTTTACAAAATAATGCTTTTAGAAGTGAAGAAAGGTCATTAAAATAATCTCTAGACTCATCATTTTTTTCTAGGGGTCATAAACATGCCGGCTCTGTTTGGGAAAAATCAGTGCATTTATGATAATAGTAGGATCTAATATACTCACAGTGAATTTCACCGATTGCAGCTTTGAAGGTCTTCTTCTGATAATTTGCTTGAGCAATTTCACCTTCCTCGTTGTATGAGGAATATTGGGGAGACGATATCAGTTCACTGTTTGATATGAGACGAAGTGTCTGCCGTCTTTGAATTTTTTGCGCACCACAATAAACCTGTGTTCTACGTAATAAACCTGTGTACTACGTCAGTAACATGTGCTTGATTCGCATAATTTCGTGTAGTTCCGTTGTTTTTGCCGTCAATACAATGACTGAATAATTTCAATTTATATCGTTGAATTTTATTTCACAAATTCTATTATTTTAAGCACAACAAAAGCGCTTGAATTTCATACAAAGCTACAGTAGTTTCCAAAACAATTGTGTTGCTACGTCATCAGTATACGTATCTTATACGTCATGAAAATATGCTCTTCTCGGTTAGGCGTAAATATTATATTGCTCGAGTATAATCGTAAAGGTTCGCTGGTTTAGTGAAGACTAAGTTATCATCGTTAATTTCCGTCAGCATAAATATGACCTGCCGGCTGCCACATATAGGCCTACTTTAATTCAGGAAGTCCTCTCGATTGACGCGGGGATTCAGGTTTTGACTCGTGAAAATTTGGAAATGCACATATTTGACACGTGAAAGAATCTGCACAAGAGTCAATTTGCCACATGGGATTTTCAACTATGCAATAATAATCACCTTAAATCCACCCCTAATTAGATCTACGTATGTTCAAATCACACTCAATAAAAATGTCACCGTGTATAAAGTGGTTTATACACACAGCCTGTGCACCGAAGCATGACATCAGTGGATGCAATTTGACAGCGCTAAAAATAGCTCTACACAACTGATTAAAAATTACATACTTCAGATGTCAATTATTGATTGTTTTTTAAAGGTTTGTAATACGTCTTTGATTTACTTGGAGTGCCTGTACATTTGTTATTTCTTTTTGGATTTTATATTCCTATTATCTATTAATTAAATGACCAAAGATAAAATTGTCATAA